GGTCAATTGACATGGCATCAACTACTGTCCCCTGTCAAAGGTCGCTTTTTTTGTACCAAGTAGGGCGCTGCGACAAGACGTGCGATCAGAGTCATATAGAGCGCAAAAAAGAACAACGAAAGAAACAACGATCCAGAACCCTCAAAGCCGAGACTCGTCAGAAAGAAACGGTACTTACAGTGTTCTTCGGAGTTGCGCTCCTGCAGCAACGAGTCGTAGACGACCTCGGGCAGTTCGCACGGTCGGTAGTACCACTTGACGAGCACGTTCAGCTGTTCGCGTTTGGTCTAAAAACGAATTTCGTCACATTCACCCATCAAAGCATCGGCAGCGGCGATGGCGGCAGCAGCAGACCGACATTGAACTCGCTAAATTCGACTCCCGTATGTCTTCCGTCCGGCATGTCTCTTTCGACGACACTCAACGCATGGCACAACCTCTTAAAAAACACGAACCCGAGTTTTTGCTTGAGGAAGAACCGGCGGCGGCTACGTCTCGTGTTTAGGGGACAACGAGTGTGGCCATTCGGCAGCAACAGTGGAGAATAGAAAATGGAACTGATGGAAATATTACAACTACAAACCCTGACGACAGGCGCTTACCTGCAGACCACCTTACTCAAACACAAGCGGAGGACTTAAGCTCAAATGACTGAAAAACGGCACTACACAGAAAATACACGCATTTCCTCTACCTACCATCTTTTTACAAATGAGGTCCGGAGTTTTCGATTCGTTGACTCGACTTGTTCCTTGCAACACCATGAAACATTGCTTTCATTGACAAAATATTAAAGGCACCAAAATACAAACGGAGACTAACAAAGGTGGATCGTATTCAGTTGCTGTAGCGTATTGTCCATGAATCGTGGCTGAGAGCTCTATAGAGTCATTATGAGTTATGTCCTGCAGACGTTACCGACGTAGTAGCGAAATAGCTTGACTGCCAACTTTATTTGAAGACATGAACAATAAGTGACCACGAATCGACAGCGTCCATCTTTGTCCAATCCCTTCCTTTTGAACGCGCTTTGATGCC